GAAAGAGGTGGACAAATTGGACTGAGTACAGAGGAGAGCAACAAAAATGGTAAAAGGTTTAGAAAACCTGACCTATGAGGAAAGATTTAAAAAACTGAGCAAGTTTAGTCTTGAGAAAAGAAAACTGAAGGGAGACCTGATAACAGTCTTCAAATATGTTTAGGGCTGTTATAAAGAGGACAGTGATCAATTGTTCTCCATGTCCACTGAAGGTAGAACATTCAAGCAGTAATGGGCTCAATCTGCAGCAAGGAAGATTTAGGTTTGATATTAGGAAAACTTTTCTAACTATAAAGGTAGTTAAGCTCTGGACTAGGCTCCCAAGGGAGGTTGTGGAATCCCCATCACTGGAAGTTGTTAAAGAACAGGTTAGACAAACATCTGTCAGAGACGGTCTAGTTTTCTTGGTCCTGCCTCAGCACACAGGGGGCTGGACTTGATGATTTTCAAGGTCCCTTCCAGCCTTACATTTCTATGATTCTATGATATATGGGCAAGACCTGACTTTTTTAAGAAACATGGTTTATATTTATGACTGGACACGCCAAGTGGAGCCTTCATGCCAGCTAATGCACTTCTTAGGTGTGTAGTGCCAAGTGCCTCACTAAATCCCCCCAGGATGCATTAATCAGCACTACTGCACTGGCTTGTATCTTTGCCCATTTCTAGTTGATGCCAGAGGTTAAATGGTCTTCTGACAGTGCTGGCAGAGTTTGAAACCACAAACTTGTAGCAATGTTCACAGTTCAGTGTGCCAGTTAATTCAGACCTCAGTCCCATAATATTGACACTGACTCCCCACTTGGCCCCTCTGAACCACCTTTCTCCAGCCAATCTATCTAGGCATTTGTAGCGTGCCTATCACTGTAGTATCCAGCGTGCCTCTAATTCCCCACTACTAAGACTCTGCCCTTTTGGAAGATCCTACAGGAGTGCTGCTTTCTCATCTCAGATCGCATCACCACATACAGGTCCACAGTCAGAGTAGGACCACAGTGCACCCCTCAGAAGGGAAGCAACAGAGCACAAAAAAATTGAACAGAGCTGAAGCCCAGCACAGAAGCGGAGCTGCACATGATGACACAGCCAGAGATGGGATTTTGGAAGTTAGCGAGGGGGCAGGATGGAGCTGAAAGCAAGTGGGAGGTTGCAGAAAGGGAAAAGGGAGCACGGGAACGGATGCAAACTAGTGTTTTTGAAACTGAATGAGTAACCAGAAGTCCCAATGAAGCCACAGAGGACTGACGGTACTCAGCACTTCTCAGGCCTTAAGGACTTGTGCCCTGTAGAATAGTTGAAGAAGAACTCAGCAAGAATTTTCAAAGGGGATGGTAAAGGGTGATGTGCATCTGTATATGTGGGGGAGATTGGGAGAAACACCAATGTAAAGAAGCAAACATCAAAGCAAATCTTCCCCATTGTGCTGGCATCCAGCAGTGCCTATTCACAGATTTAACTGACATCCTTTTCAACATGCCATCATCATAGAGAAGTCCCTGCCCCTTCTCAAGAACTGAAAGCCAACAACTCATAAATACCATGGGCCTGATTCTCAAATGTTTGCATCAGAATAAAACTCCATTGATTTCAGCAGAGTTACATTGGCAGACAACTGAAGGAATGCAATGGAGAATCAGGAGACAGAAGCTTAGACAATCTTTTTCATAGCTGAACTTTTCCCATATTTGATGGTGGTCCAAAAGGTAAAAACTCCTTTTGGAAAGTTTGATTAGTATCATTTCAGGTATTTTTGAGCTCCATGAACATGAAAAATAATTTTCCCCTTAAATTTGTGCTTGCATAACTCAAAATAAGCCAAAGCTAGAAACTTTTAAATTGGCTGGTTTTATAGCTGTCATTAACAGGGGAATGGGGAAAAAAACAGTCATATGAAGAAAAGTTCAGTGGTCCAAATTTTGATCTCAGGTAAGGTGGTGTAACACAGGAAAATCAATAGGACCCTATAAAAATTATCTCTTTAAAAAAAAGAAATCCATAGAATTTAATTTTAAAAAATGATAATCTTAAATTTTGTAGGATTTTTCCAGAAGGAGTAATTTCAATTACCTGTGTATTATAATATGCAATTCAATGGGACAACTTAATGTTGCAATAGAAATCTTAAACTTTCTGAATTTCCTGATCTTTGTTTGCTGGCTATCTCAACCTTGTTGCTGCACTGAGGTTAGTTTTATATTTAGTATCATTATCTAGTTTGTACTAGACCTGGAAAAAAATGGTAACATTGTGGCTTGATCCCCGGCCCCCATTCAAACAAAAGAACCAAAACCAAAACACTGATGAAAAAATTCTAACCAACTCTAATTTACACTTTTATCATGTCCTTCATCCAAAGTTCTCAAAGCCTTCTGTAAACAGAAATCAATTAGACCCTGCTCCAGAAGTGCATTTAAGCACGTTTAACTAGAAGTCCTTTTGGGATCTGCTCACATACTTAAAGTTAAGCACGTGAGCTCTTAAACCTCTGTAAGTTAAATAATTTTTATACCTATTTTACAAAAAGAGAAACAGAACCACAGAGATTTTAAGGTCAACATTTTCAGATGTGTCCACTAATTTTGGTTTTTTCCTTATTTCAGTTAAAGGCACGTAGGGCCTGATTTTCAGACATGCTGAGCACCACTGACTTCTCCAGCTCTCCTCACTAGACTATGCTCCTTTCTCCCATGAGAGGAGCATGATTCCTACATTAACTGATTCCCAGGTTAACAGTGAGACTAGCATTTAATTTCTCCATTAAATGGGTCAGCCAAGTTGAATTACTGAGCAAAGGGGTGCCTGGGTTTCATTACCAAATGCAACCAAAGCAATGAATAATAATTAAAAAAAAAAGGAATTAAAATAATGTGACGAATTCAAGGGAGTTCCAAAATATCATGTTGCTGAAATACTTCTGCTAAAAGTGTGCCTGCACAGATGGAGCGGAGCACTGTCACCAGTGACCTTGTTCACTCTTCCGCACCAACTCCATTTTTCCAAGTTTCTTCCTCCTACTGGAGCTACGGACCTTCCATCCTCAGCGGTATTGTGACTTGCCAGCACACATCTTTGAAAGGAACATCTTTAAGCACTCATTTGAAAACAAAAAAAAGTGAGACGGGAAAATGATTTCCTTGGAAAGCGAGCAGAATAACCACCATTGCACAGCATAACATTGCAGCACTAAACGTATATCACCCTTGTTATAACTGGAGATTGTCAGTAATCATTACCAGAGATCTAGGCTATGAAAGCATAGTAGTTAATCACCTGCTCTGATTTGGTGGTTTTAAAGGATCCACTGCAGAAGGATCTTTTTATGTGTGCTTTCTGTCAGTGGGAATGGGATTATACAGGAGTCAGAATTGACATGGGTAATTTCTGATGAACTCTATTCTACAGATGGCCCTCACTCAAAGAGCACAGGGTCTCAAAAGCCTTGCAAAGTTTCAAAACCAGATGTGGATTTTTGAATCCATCTCTACATCTATTCTCATTCAGGCTTTCTGACTTCTAACCTGTCCTACTCTAGTCTCTTCACTCATGTTTTCCAAATGGAGCAGTCACTTAGGACTAGACTGTACCTAGCCTGTTCAGATGTACAAGGTGAGGGGAAGAGTGAGTCTTCTCCCATTTTGTGTGACCATGCAGAGGATACGCACAGTATCTATCACTGAGCTCCCTTTGTGTAGAAGGACCCTGATATCGTAATGCTGACAGCCGTGCTAGAAATCCACTGGGAGCGTGGACAGACAGGACAAGCACATGCTGCAAGCTACTAAAAAGTTTTAGAAGCAGTTGCCACTGTATGCTCTTCTCCAGGGCCTGCTGCAGGTCTAGGGCCTGCCCCTGGGACAGTGACTGCAAATTACCACCTCTACTTTCTCTACTACTGCACAGTGGCTTAAAGCTACAGGGCACAATTCTGCCCTAAATCCAAACTCTGCTCAGAATAGTGGGTTGGAGTCCTACTTCTGTGCACCTGGCCCTGGCATCTGTTAGAGCAGCCTTGAAGTGGCTCTAAATTACTCAGCTAGCATGACAGAGCACCACCCTCCTGCCTCACTGGGGTAGTGATTGGTACAGGAGCCAGCGTCAGCAGCTTTACACCAGCAGAGTGTTCCTCTCCACAAATAGGAATTCTCCACTGCCCAGCGACAGCCAGAATCCAGCCCTTTTACATCACCTGAGCAGTGGAAAGAGAAGAGGCCACAAGCTACAATATTGTCCACAATTCAGCCCTCAGTGTTCTGTATTTCGCTTAGGAGCTGAAATGCTACTGTTAAACAGTAGGGCAAAGAATAAAATTGGGCCTGATCCTGCAGACCTTACTCAGGCAAACTCCCATTGCCTTCAGCAAAAGTTTTGTCTAAAGACAGCAGTATCTGGCCTAGTGTAATTAACTTGAAAAAGCAGATGAATGTTATAGACACCTAATGCCTGTTGTGTGTAGGGTTTTTTGTTGCCTTTAGAATGTTTAATATTTTGAGAAGTAAACTAGAAGGACTTAGCCAAATTAAGTATTTTCTCTAAACTGTCAGTGTTATTTCAACTGGCAAAGTGAATGGGATAAATTGGATTAGATGCTGTCTATACTTCAAACCCTAATTGTGAAGAATCCAAATGTTCGAGCAATGCGTGGAGGCAAACCAAAAAGCAAATACTACATTGTCTGCAAAGCAGCAGATAGCTCAGTTTACCAATTAGTCAAATGGTTTTGGTAGCATGACTGATCTCTGAACAGAAGCATTCCATGTCTATTGGGTCCTGTGCAATGAGGTTTATGACAGCACAGCTCTCCATCCTGTGTCATGAAAAACTATACAACCTGGAGTACAGCACAGCACTTCCAAGCTTTGGGTATGTATTCTGGTGTCATCACAGTAACTCCAAACCAGAGTAGGGCGAGAAATCTACCTTCTGAATTATAATCTGGAAAAAATTACAGTACGGTAGTTCAGATTGAATACATTGAAATGTGAAACGGTTAGTAAACATACCCAGATGAATGGTGGGACGTTGGTTGTTGATGGGGAGGGCTGTGATGTTCAGATCACAGATTGGGAGACTGGTGTGAAGAGGTAATGGTGGAGGGAGAGCTTTATTAAAACAGCAACTATCCACTGTACCAGCCTCTCCATCTGAGACAATGAGGGTCAAGTTGTCGTCACAAAGGCTATGTCCTATTTCACCTCCTAGAAAGAAACAGAGAATAGAGATACTGAAATCACACTCACAGGAGAGCATACAAGAAGAGTAGAAAAGATCATCTGATCTTTCCTTGAAAAACAATAAATCAATCAAGTATCTTCAAAGGCCGAAGACTTTGGAGCAAAAAACAAAGGAACTTGTGTGTATTTGGAAATGTTTTAGATTTGGCTGTCAAATAAAATTCAGTCTCATAACAGCCATTGAATTTAAAAGACCAGCCCAACAAACCCCTAAGTAGTGCCATTTAATGCTCTCCTACATAGCAAACCTGTAAGCTATATTACTGGAAAGTTAATACTAGAATAACATGTAAAATAGTGCATAGTATTATCCCTTTTATCGTGTCGTCAGTGTGAGGAGCTCAAAGCTCTTTGCATACTTTAATGAACTAAACATCACAACAAGCCTGTCAGGTAAGGAAGTCCTGTATTATCATTTCCATTTTACAAATGGAAGAAATGAGTCAAAGAGTTTAAGGCATACGCTTTCAATATCATCAGCTAGTTTTTCTCTGACTTTCAGAGATGTTGAGCACCCACAGTTCTGACTGAAGTGAAGTTGTGGGTGCTCATAATCTCTCAAAGTCAGGACATAAGGGTCTCCAGTTGAACGCCTGCCCCCCAAAAAATGGATGCACCCAAAATTAGTAGATACTTAAAAAAATTAGGTCTAAGGTCACACAGGAAGTCTGTGACAAAGCCAGGAACATACCTCAGATGTCTAGTTTCTCAGCCATGGTCTAGAGCCACACAAAAAACAAATGGAGTCAGGAATGTCTAAAATATAACAGGTACTAGAGCTGGTCAAAAAAATGTGTTCTCACCGTGTCCCTTCACAAGATTTTGACAGATGCCCTCCAAAATTCTTTTCATCTAAACTTTCCACAGAAATGTTTGAATTTTTGGCAGAAATTCCAATACTGAAAAAGGTATCCAAAAATTGAAATAGTTCAGTGTTTTGACAAAAAAAAAATCTAAATTTTCTATAGAACACACACACACACACACACACACACTTTTTAAATAAAAATTTCACTTGGTCAGAAACCTAGTTTTCATTTACAATCAGTTTCAACAGAAAATTTTTGACCTGCCCTACACAACACAGTCCACTGTGGGGAGGCTGGAAATCTGATCATCTAACCCTGTGCAGTGCACAAACCCTTTTTATAATAAAAATCTTCTGTTTAGTACAACAGGCAATAAGTGCCACATGTAGAAAGCATTATAAGGGGAACAATTTTATTGCCCATCCTTAAAAAAAAAAGTTGTATATACCATACTGTACTAAAATAATAGCAGTATATAAGCAGAATTCATTTCTCTAGACTGGCTGGGCTTTATCAACTAACAGGTTACAGCTTTTCATTTCAGACAGGCCAATATTCTTAAAAACAGCTTTATCTTTAAGAAAACAAAAGGGCTAAAAAAAATCCCGTAGAATAGAATACAGTGTCAGAAAATTCAAGAGAACACAAAAGCCCCCTACTTCCATAAAGACTTGCTGCAGCTGATCTCAAGGTGGAGATATATTATTTAACAATTACTAGGAGGCATCTACTGACAAAACAGTACCCACCAAGATGAGCATACAGAATGCTAGTGTGCAAACTGGCAATATTTCGAGTGCCCAATCTGCCCATAGGATGAATAGCGGTGTTCTTGGGAAAAAGAGCAGAGCAACAGAGAAAGCAGTCTCCCATCGCAAAGGCTGCTACAGTCACAGGGTGGGGGAGGAGAGGGGAAAGCAGGTGGTTTTGAACTTGAAAGAAAGATTAATGTATTGAAGTAGTTCTCTTCTCCAGGCTGATGGCACGAACAATAATCTGCTGTGCTTGAAATCTGTACAACAGTAGCATTCTTGCTGCTGTGCAGGAGGAATTGAATGATAATGTATATGGACATAAAAGCGAAAAAGAAAAGAAAAAAACAGTGAGAAACAAGAATTTTTTTCCTACTGTAATTAAAGTATTTTAAAAGACAGTGTTTTGATGTTCTTTATTGCAACCGAAACTGCACAAGAAAGTGGGTTGGCGGAGACTTCTTCTAATACTCATTAGTATATACAAACACAGTTTTAAAGTAAAATCAGAAAAGGTGCAGGAGAGAATTTCACTGAAAATTTAACACTCTAAATATTGGTTTGACTCAAAACAGCAAAGACAAGGACAATTCAGGCAGCTATTCCACCCTTAACTCATCCTGTAGTGCCCAGGTAACTCAGTGCAAGTAGCACAGGGCAGGTCTAGGGCTCAACAAATACTTTGGGTAGAAACAAACTGTATGAAATCACCCACATTAGCAGGTGATTAAATGTTTGTTTCTGACACCTATGAGATGCCTGTGTCAAGCTATTGTGATGGTATGTCGCTACACAAACATGCACTGAAGTCAAAGTGAATGACAGTAGCACAATCTGGCCCTAAAATAGGAGTCCAAAAGAGGAATCTGAAACTAACCAAAATACAATCTAACCAGCTGGAAAGAGCCAAATCTTCTTTGACAACAGGCTCCAGCCTCAAACAAGTTTTAATCACAGAGTTATAGACCTCTTGATAAGAAGGCTTATAATAAAAAAAAAATAGAAACAGACCATAATACAATAATCCATAGTTGTGGTGGCATTTAGTAATAAAAAAATAGAGAGGTAGCGCTTAATAAGGAACAAGCAAACTGTGAAAATCAAAATTGTATATTACCCGTATGTATGTAAGTGATCAATCTCTGAGTGATATCCAGCTGGAAGAATTTATCCACCATGAATCCTCTCTTTTGAATCACCCCATGCGCTGGAGCACGAGCAATCATGTATGTCAATTTTGTGTCATCACTATCAGCATCTGTTGCATAAAGGTATTCTGTGGTGATAACAACGTGTCCTCCCTCCGGACACTCCAGTCTTGATTTTAATCCTGACTGTAGCTCTGGGGGCTTATCATTAACTGGTATAATCTTGAAAGAATGAGAAGGGGAGGGAGAGGAGAGATATTTTCATTTATAGTTCAAAGTCCAAAAAGCAGTATTGGCCTAGATTTTATTCTAACAACAACCTTATTTCCTCTGTCACTCATATGGGGGAGCTCATCTAACAAGCAAGTAATAAACTGTTGCCTCTCAGATATATTCCTGTAGCACACTTCACACTCTGGGAAGGTTATTTGATCCATAATGGTTATCAGCTGCTGTTTATTCTAATTGTTATGGTCAAATGTTTAGCATCTGAGTCTCGATCTGGGATCTATCAGTAACTTTGGACATCGGTGATGCTGGTGGATTTGTTCCCAACCAATTAGATGAAATCCTACAAAATGTGTTCCAATTAGAGTGCAAATAAAAAAATTTAATATTTTCCGTTGAATGTAACTTTACCAAAAACATCTTGATGAGCTATTATGTAAATACCTCATTTCTATCAGCATCCTGAATAGCAAACTCACAGTGCAGAGGAGGTTACAAAGACTATTTCATGTTATGGAGCAATTAGTTGAGATGCAATAGTTAAGAGTGAGCCTACACTTCCATTTTAAGACAAAGGCCAGGTCTACACTACCGCGGTAGTTCGACGGCTGGCAATCGAACTTCCGGGTTCGATTTATCGCATCTGGTCTGGACGCGATAAGTCGAACCAGGAAGTGCTCGCCGTCGACTGCGGTACTCCACCTCAGCGAGAGGAGTACCGCGGAGTCGACGGGGGAGCCTGCCTGCCGCGTGTGGACCGCATCTGAACCGCGGTAAATTCGAACTAAGGTATGTCGACTTCAGCTACGTTATTCACGTAGCTGAAGTTGCGTACCTTAGATCGAATTGGGGTGTTAGTGTAGACCAGGCCTTATTTTCTAACTCCCTTTCCTTCAACACTTTAGCCTTTTATTGAAGGATGAGGTAGGGACTCGGGAAGAGAATTTAGGGGGGGAGGTGGCAAGATGTTTGGGTTGCTTTTACGTTTCATCTCAATTCTGAATTCCTGGGTTCCCAACACTTGTTTTTTATTTTAAACTACAATGTTGTCATTAGTTTTATTCACTCTGATGGTATATTCTCTCAGCCTTAACTCCACCTTCATCTATGTCTGGACATCTAGCTTCTCAGATAAAATATTAAACTTTAACATTACTTATGGCATTTTGCGTTATATTTCAGACCTACAGCTGTTCAAAAAATGTCCATCAACATTATTCAACAGAAAATGGGGTTTTCAACTGAACAAAGTTTTTCATGAAAGCGTCTGCTTTCCACAGAAAAAAATTGATTTTTCGTTGGTGGAGCTGGTGTGGGGGAAGAATGCCCAAAAACCTAAATATTTTAATTTGGCTGTGCTGCCATGGTGACTCATGTGAGTTGCAGTTTGGTTGACTTTTATCCCTATTCTCCTCTGTGGGCAGGGTTCCCTGGCCAAATTACATCTCCGATGGTGCACTCCCCCACCATGGTGGGCCTTCTCTCCAAAAGGGGAATCCATGGTGCATCGTGGGATATGTAGTCCAACCAGGGAGTCTGGCCTATAAAGGAGAATGTGAGCACGAGGCACATGATCTACAAGTCCCCATAAGGCTCTGTGACAGCAGTTCCAAACAGAAATAGTTCACTCTTCATCCACAATTTTTCTGATTTTGAATTTCTGCCAACAAATTGAAATTTTCTGTGAAAAATTCAAACAGCTCTATTCAGCTCTACTCAATACTCACAAAGTTCACTGTTCTATAGATTCCCCAAGGGAGGAATATGGATTACATCATGTAATCTATCTATTTTCTAACTTCACAAATGAAGTAGTGTTTTGTAGAATTACAGTAAAGGAAATCTATCTGCATGAGAACAAAGCAAACAACTAACAGTCACCAAAACACTCTATCTTGCATTCCTTACTTAGGCAAGACTCCCTTTGAAATGCCAACTGGGCTCCTAGTGCAACTGCATTTACGTGTTCAAAGACAGATTTTAAAAGGGCTAAGGTAAATTTCTACCGTGGTTTTAAATAGGTAGCAGTGTCTATTACACAGGATTTGAGAAGGTTCAATAGCAGGAGAAAATAGCTACTAGGAAGAGAGAAAACCAAAGTGTCTTTTCCCGTTTTGGTCTATAGGTAGACTCCTGATCCTGCAAAGACTTATGCACATGCTTAGCTAGACACACACGGTGAGCAGTCTTATTAACTTCAATGGATCTACTCCTAGTGTGTATAGTTAAGCATGTGCATAAGTCTTTTCAAGATCAGGGCCTTAGTCATTAATAACTCTGGAGTTGTTTTATAGACATTTCATCCAGGAGTCAAACTCAGCCTAAGCAGAAACCTTTCCGGGAAATCTGGTAAAAAGATTGATGAAAATTAAAAATCTACTTAGTCGAGCTGAAGTAACCAATATGTGATTAATACTTTCCAATTATATTTCAGTACAGTGCATTGCTGAATTTCTTATTACCTGCACTCTTAACACTCCATCTGCAGTGTTAAATCCATCTGTTGCTGGAAATATGACTATATCTTCAAGGGTTTCTGAATCATCATGCTGGTACCTTTTAACATAATTATAATGAAAAGTGATATTCATTAAGTAGTGAATATTAGAAACCTATAAATAGAAGGTGGGGGGAAGGACTAAGGTCTAGCAATGCCCACCACTTACAAATGATCCTGTGAGATGCTTCTGTTTAATCTTAGCATATTGGTCTAGAGCCTCAGCCAGCATAAAACAGCATCACTCCATTGGATTCAGTGAAGTTACACTGATTTATGCCAGCTGAGGATCTGGATCATGATAATTATTCAGTGGTTCAGAGGTAAGCGACAGAGATGAGTCCATGACATGAATCACAATTGTCTTCACTCGTGAATATAAACAAAGAAAAAATCCCATGTGTGCATAATTGTGAAAATGTCTTGCATGACATGACATGATGTAAAAGACATTTATGTCCTCACCTCTAATAGGTGAAGAACCCAATACCCCTAGTCATGTATATTTTTGGACAGTATTCAATTTAGATAGCCCTGTTTTCTAAATGTACTCTAAAATTAATGACAATGATTTTTTCCCAAAAAGTTTCTATTGCAGAAACAGAACTATTGTTAATTCTTTTGAAACGGAAACATTATTTGCAATGCAGAGATTCATTTTTTTTTTAAAGGTAGAATCCAAATGCATTACCTGACTTTGTAAGACTGCAAATCCTCAAGGGTAAACATATCTCCTTCCTGCATAATGAGTCCATACAGTTCAATGTGCCCATATTGAGGACGTTTCTTCAGCTGGATTCGAAGATCATCCCTGGTGTCCAAGTCTGACACCATTAGATTCTCCCCAGAGATGAAGAAACTGGCACCTTCCTCTGTTGTTAGATGATTGGTGAAAATCTAAAACAGTGATGAGCTCACAAAATGCACTGAGGCACTATAAGGAATAGCAAAATAATATACACAGGAAAATAATGAGTTTAACATGTCAGCAACTAACAAGTATTTCAAAGGCAGACTTTGGCATAGGAGTGTCTATATTGGATTTCCTACTGATCTGCAACCATTCTCAGTGCAGGTTCAGAGTCTGCCTCCCAGATTTCATCCACGCATCTCACCAGAAAGAAACCCACCTGCATTGCCCCATGTTAACTTTCAGATGCTGCTATCACACCACATGGATGTGGGGAAGGTAGTACTGGTTCTGGTTATTGTTGCTGTCCTGTGACGGGGTGGAAACAGCTTTCAATGTTGTACCCACATAGAACCATGACAGCCCATCTCTGCTTTAGTCAGGTAAACACCACCTGTTTTAGTAATCAGATGAGACCTATACTTTTCTTGGAGAAGCATAGTTAGATATTAAAAACCAACTAAGCAAAAAAATATAGGCCATTTACCAGACAGTAGAGTAAGCGCCATAACTGAGCAGGAGGATATTGTGATCTACTTGTATTTCCTTGTATAGGAGGGAGGTTTGGGCAGAAGTGTCTTTAACCAATCTTTTCTTAACTGCAAAAAAGTGCACCTCAGTTTGATACAAGAGACAAGTGAACACATATGCAGGTGATCTTATTTAACTAGGTGGCTCGCCCAACCCTGCTTGGAATCTGGATCAGCACATATTGTCCTCCTGTGCTTTCAAAGTCCCTCAAATAAGTTCTAAAACCCTCACAGAAGTACTAAACAGAGGCTCCTCTTCCTTTGCAGGCAGACAGGCTCAAAACACCCAAGGATTCCAAACACAAAGAAGCAGGGCTGGCTCCAGCTTTTTTGCCGCCCCAAGCGGCGAAGAAAAAAAGATAATAATAATTAAAACAAAAAGATAAAGCCGTGAATGGCGGCACTTCGGAGGCAGCTCTACCACGCCACTTCATTCTTCGGCGGCAATTCAGTGGCCGGTCCTTCCCTCCGAGAGGGACCGAGGGACCCGCCGCCGAATTGCCGCCGAAGAGCCGGACGTGCCGCCCCTTTCCAGTGGCCGCCCCAAGCACCTGCTTCCTGCGCTGGTGCCTGGAGCCGGCCCTGCAAAGAAGCCTCCATACACAAACCTACAGTCCAACAATGAAACAAAAACAACAATAACCACCGGGATGTATTCGCTTTGTGTGTACGAGTAGGGGTGCTGTTGCCCTGTAGTGGCTCATCCATGGAGATGATAAAGTGACTTACTACTAGTTTCAGCTATAGGAGTTCTCCTTACGCTCAGCGGCGGAGGCCTGTATGTTTAGAACTGAATCACCTAAGTTCTACTCCCAGCTCCCTACACGTGTGTAATTGCATCTGCTGTCTGCAGCATGTGGATGTGTCGTACCACAGAAACTCACAACCATCTCCACAGCAAACTAACAGCAACTCAGCAAAATAAAAGACAAGGAGACAAAGCCATTCTCAAGGAAGTAGACTGGAAGAGAGCATGTCAGAGAGACGAGGTCAATGAGGAATGTGTGGTCGCAGATAACAACATCATTCATTCCTCGGGAAGGCTTTTGGGCTTGACATTCACATCAGTAGGATTCACAGGTCCCAAGAGTCCCTGTTTTAGAGCTTAACAGTACTGCCAAAATCTACTTGGCATAAGTTACCTCCTCTGAAAAGCTTGTACTAAAAAGTTTGCAAGTCTACTCAATAGCACTATAGCTTGATGAAAGGTAGTTAGCACTAGCAGGTGAGTCATAATATTTCTGACCTGGTGCTGTGAATCAAACAGCAGGAAGAAAACCAATTTAACAACATGTTTGTTTCCATCACGTTGCTCATAAAATACTGCCCACTTCAGTGAGTAAAACCATAGATAGATAATGTAAAAATGTTTAGAGCCTCTCTCTCTTCTCCTCAAACTCCAACTAGAATGAAAAGCTTTCTCTATCTGCCTGCCTGAGAAAAGTTTGCTGCCTCTACATCCCTATAAACAAATACTGGGACAGCACAGGGGCTACAGAAAAGCACTGACTATTCACTGAGATATAAGGAAGCTTATGAAGAAAAGTAACTTTCCCTTAGGAGGAGGAGAGCTTTCCCCCTTGCTTCAATAACAGACAAAGCAACTAAGGAAGGGTTAGATGCATTTGCCCAGAGATCTCTGAGTCATAACTTAAGCTGCTAAAAGTTATGTCCTAGTACTCTATCAAAGAGGCTTTTCTAATGGACATGAACCTTTTTCTTTGCACTGTGGCGGTTTTCAGGGCTTATCGATGGCTGAAAGGTGTGACAAAGTCAGTCCTGACACAGATATAAGAGAGTGGTTTTGGTTTTTTTTTTAACTGGAAAAAAATCCTTTATTTTAGTCTCTGAAACACAACATTCCTCTTCATTAAGTCAAGTGGAGTAGGTATGAACTGTCACCTCTTCATTAGAGGAAATCAGAAATGGTAGTCACATCAGGCTTGCCATCAAGCTGCAGCATGCAGATCAGCATAATCGCCTTGCTTCATGCTCAGATTCCAGCAGCATCAGGACATCCCCCTCACGGACAGGCCTCTTTACGTTCTGGATGATGGATCTACTGGTGTCGTCCATGAATTCAACACGAACCTGGGTGCACTGGCCCTGCGAGCTCGGCTGGCCCAGCACCTTGGTGACCTGGGCCAGTTTGATGGGGTGCATGCGGCTCGTATCCATGGCAGCTGCTCCGGTTGGTGGAGGGCAGATATATCAGCTCTAGAATGGTGAAGGCCCTGTGACCTATGAATGGAAAAAAGGTTACCTCAGGATAATCAGAGACACCTGAGTCCAGTTAAGGGCTGCCAGTGACCTTTCAAAACCCCTCTTCGGGTGAGAGAAAGGAGGGGAGAGATATGAGAGAAGCTGCAGCAGAGGCACTGGCAGCAGGAAGGAAAGGCTTGTCCTGGTGGAAGGCTGTCTCTCCTCTCTATAGGGAAAGAAAATTAACAGCTGCTTGGGGTAGGTCTGGCAACTAGGAGCCAGCATAGTAAGGTAACGCCCTGGAGAGGGGGCAGGGGAAAGTATTTCTGTTTGCATTGTGAGGTTGTTTGTTTGTTTGTTATTTTTGGGGTGGGGGGTTGTTTTGCTTAAGATAACGCCTTGGGATAACCCTGTGGCCAATCATGTAAATAGGGGGAAATAAAGCCAGAGTGAAGACTGATTTATTCCATGCCCCCACTGCCCAAGGGAGAAATGCTGAGGCCACTAAGGTAAAGGTGGTGTCCTGCCACAAAGGGCATAGTTAGATAAAGGAGACAGAGATCAGAGAATGGCCCCAAGCACAAATGCATATTAGATAACTGTATTAGTTTTAAAGCATAGGGGCCTGAAGTAAAAACTCCAAGAAAAAGCAGCAATGAAAGTGACTAAGCTTTAATTAATTAAACTTAATGTTTATTTTCTTCTGGAAGGACCTCAATTCATAGGAAGAAGTCAGGCAACAATTGTGTGGGGCAAAGGAATGTATCCCCATAAAATAAGCAAAGAAATAATTGATTGACTGGTTTGAATATTTGAAGCACCACGATCAAAAGCCAGCACACACTTGAATAATCATCCTTTTTGTCATAGATTCAAATCCCTCAACTCTCCTGTTTACTCTAGAGCTGTACAGTGGAAAGTCATTAGGAAGACTTTCCTAATGCATCATGTCGACAGATAATTAGGATACTTGATAAATACCTTAGGTGCTTCATCATCCACAGGCATCACTGTGATGTTAAAGTTGAGTCCAGCCACTACTCTTCCCTGCTGGTCACTAACAGAAAACTCAAACTGTTCAAACAGCGGGTCAGGACCACTCTCTCTCTCTGGGGGCATGTACACCACTTTTAAATGTGTTTCAGCATGCTGTGGGAAACAGACGTGACAGTATCACACAGACCTCACAAGTTTAATTTCCTGAGTTATGGATGAAGAACATAATGTGAGATGTGGCACTGGTGAAAACCACTGCAGCCTGACTCACCTGGCATATTCATCCATAAATCAACCTCTTACTGTCATCAAAATGAATGCAACCAAGCAGTTCTTCTGGCAAGACCCTCTTGATGTACATATACAGCAGAGCATTTGCATGTTTTTGAAACATTATTAAGAAGGAAACCACTCAGGATCATTGGGACTTATTGCAGCCATGCTGGGCCAAACTGATCCTTGGTGTGACTCCATTGAAACGAGGGAATTTGACCCACTGTGTGATCATAGAAACAATGAAAACATCATAATCGCAAGGGAGATTTAGGTGTCCAAATCAAACTGGAAGCATATAGGATCTGGGTGCTTATCTTTCCACTTGTGCCTTTGAAAATCTTCCCCTAATGCCTACTTTAATCAAAAGATCTGATTTGGTAAAATGAATGCCTTTAAAAAATATTATACACTTACCACCTGGAGTGAATTTACCCCAATATTTCTGAGTACACTGCATATAATATGGTTTAAGTAAATACCACCAAGTTGCAAAACTTTGTTTAGTAGCACCCAGTGTACCATTCATTACAGGTGAAATCCAGTCCTCTGCAGTTGGACAGCATCATGACTGGTCACGGTTTAAATCCCACTCAAAACAGCACCACATAATTTCTAGTAATATAAAAGATTCCAGTTGTTTACCTGAGTGAACGATGTCAGCATAGAAATAGCAGGATCTTTTTTATAGCTTTTCATGCTGTCTGTGAAAATTAGCTTCACCACATCATAAATTCTGCAAGAGGGGGGAAATGTAAGATCTTTTCTCAATTGGCTTATAAAGTCTAATTTAGCCCGACGGTTTCATACATATCCGGGAGAAGAGGGAGAGAAACATGATTTAGTAACCATGTACATAAACTGATTATCTGGGGACTCGGTGTCTGTAAAGTGGAGGTGATTGTTTGTGATGTGTGCAATCTCAGTTTCTTTGACAACAAGTTGTCTTGTAGTCCCAGGAACTTCCTCTGGCAACTGGTCTTTCACCAGCATAACATGAATCATTACAGTCTACAAAAGAATTGAAAAATTTGGGGACGTAGACCATGAAATCTGATCAGCAGCAGCTAGAGAATTCTGCTCTGCTGCTAACAGTAAAACATGTTTGGAAATGAAAAATACGATTTTCCATTGATCTTGTGCTTTCCAAATACCTTGATATTTCTATTCATTTATTTTATTTGTGCAATCCTTCCAAAGAAAACATGGGAGGGAACTAATAGCTAAATCTTTAATTGTGCGCCTGATCTTTTTAATTCTGGTGCAAATCAGGAGTAACTCCATTGATTTCACTGCAGTAAAACTAATTTTCCACAAGTATGGGATGAGAATCAGGCTCATGAAGTATAATGTTAGCTTTTAGCAAGACATTTGCTACATAAGTCCCAGCATCCACATAGTTCCTTGCTATGCAATATTATATCTTCTGGGATTCCTGCCCCCCGCCACAGCATGCTAGACCATTGTCAAAAAACTAGCCATACTCGCTTGAATATCTGAAAGGTTAGGAGGTTCCTGACTGTCAGATAAGATGAAATCAAACGAGTCTTGAAAAATCTCTCCTCCAAGATGGTGATAGTAAATGAGGCATGGAAGACATCTCTTTGCAAGAAGGTTGACACAGGAATACCTTGAAAATACAATAGATACAGCACAAATAGTTTTCAGAAAACAATCCTTGGCTTTTCTCCCGTTCCATTAACTGGTAGTCCCATCTCACCACAGTAGCATCCTAGTGTGTGGGGCATATACCTAGTATGTTTTTATAGCTGTTCCTTATCCTTAAAAAAAGCTATCTCAAAAAGTTACTAGTTATTCAATTGTTGAGTAATATGAGTTGACTGTTTCTTTCAGAGACCATCAGCATTCTACCTGGTCCATCTGGAAAGTGTGTCTTGATAATCTCTTCAGCACCGGGTGGCTTGGTTATCTTGCAGAGAATATAATCATCACTTGAGTCAAAATCAGACGACATCAACATATGCTTTTCTATGAGGACTGTCTTCCCTTCTGCCAGCTGAAAGACAATGTTGCTCATCAGGAATGGTGCACTGTCATCTTTAGGGAGGATGTTAATCGGAAACTTGTGCCTTCCATCAAAGATTCTGAAGATTGCATAGTCCTTGGTTGCGTCACTATCACCATGCTGAAAATGAACAACTCCATCTTTGTGATTTTTAACTGTGAATTTGAAGCCTTTGCCTCCTGTTATATAAATGCAGGATGAGAGTTACCATGTGCTGTTTCTATCAACATAAATCACCAACAAAGTTTTCACATCTGCGCAGCCATGACACAAAGCTTCTACTCCATTATGTAAGGGCTTGATCCAAAGCCTCTTGCAGTCAACAAGACCCTTTCCGTTCACTTCAATAGGTTTTAGACTAGGCCCAAAGTAGTAAAATGATAATGTTTTCCAGAGATACGCTGTATTGTAATAATACTTACTGACCTTGATTGACAATTTGGAAACCAGGAAGATCTGCACACTGCAAACAGACAAGGAAGCATGCATCTAGGAATCACTCGAACTCAAAGAACTGTTTTTTTAACAGCATTAATAGCTCCTCATAAATATTTTAAAACAGGTTCATGATTGTTAAACAGGCCCTTATTAGAGCAAAATGATACTTCAGCTATTACTGGACAAATCCATTTGCTTATCTGAAGTTTCCCAAAAATGAAGTATTAAAACCATAATAGTGTCCCTCCTCCCCCTGCCACACACACAGAACACTAACAAATTAAATGCTCTGAAGTCACTGTGAACAATAATCTCCCAGGAATCATTTCCCCTTATTCTCTTTTTCCTCATCAACCCCTATGAAATGCTGCCTTGTCTGGTTTGGTCATCCATCTATTTTATATTTTAAACTCCTAGGATGGGGGGAGGATCTTGGATCAGACTGAGGGCCCTTCAAAACAACTGGAAACCCAGCAGATCCAACCCAAGCATAGGGGAATCTTTAGGCAGAATACAACCACTGCAGCAGCTCCTACACCACCTCCCCTCCAAGCTTCCATTGCAAAGGGTATTTCAGAGAGAAAGGACATATGGCTGAGTATTTTTATTCCCCAGAAATTCCCAGCTGCTGAAACAGCCACCTGGAGTCTGTGGGAAACAGTGTAATAAAAAGCAGCCTGAAAAGTACTGAGGTAACACTCAAGGAGTGAAAGTTGCCAACACTAATATCACAACAACAGAAGCGGAATAAAGGAAGGAGTATGTGTTCAGAGTAGCTCTGGTTGAAAATTTTCAAACAAAACGATAGTGTTAAGCAAGCCAGAGAGACTGCAATGCATCATGGGAGATGTAATATGGCTCAGGTAGAAACTGAGATTAACATCAGTAGGGAACTAAATGTTTCATTTTGGGTCAACAAGCAGAAATGAAATATTTTGATTTGTGAATGTTAAAACATTGTGTTTCAATGGGAAGTTTCATTCTGAACCATAATTTTTCAAAACTTTTCCATTGCACAATTTTTTTTAATATTTTGATTTTTTTATTTAATTGAAGATGAAGACCACGGATGAAACATCAGAATTTCCCATGGGACAGAAATTCCATGTTTCAATCAGCTCTACTCAAGAGACATTTGTGTCTAGAAATGCACTACGGGCATGTGTTTGAAAAGGTTCTATGAATTTAATGATGGATGTCTGGAAGCAAGTAACTGAAGCTTCAGGAGAGGCTGCATATGCATTGCTAACATCAGTTCTTCACAGTGAGATTATTGGGGAACCAGTGTTGCAAAATTTGAATTAGATCCAAATCTGAACTCTCTCAAATGTCAGGGATGTTCAGATCAGTAGTTCCAATTCAGGTGCATCTCTAAAATGAGGCCGTGCTTTAAGAGTTTCAGAGAGCTGGAGGGATAGGTGAGTCAAATAGTAATCACAAATCTTACAGATTCTTACAGTTTCAGGGAACTTTAGCTATTTTATCCAGAACATCTGAAAAAGAAACAAAATATCAAACCTGGCCCAAGGAAGCGGTTGGGGTATAGGAGGGTTGGTATTTTGTTCTGGGAAGCTCACTGTGAAAAGCAAAGTTAAGCAACCAAAATTGAATAATCAGTTCATCAAGACAGTTCACACACCTTCATGCCCATCTGTGATACAGTGTACCTCGAACTGTGATCCATCCATGCTGTGGTTCTTCCACCAGCTGAACAGCATTAAGTTTATCATTGCCCACAATCTGAAGGGTACCCTAGGTAACTGGATATGACTGAACTTCCAATAAGTCAAGCCCTATAATGTACACATATCAGCATAACAGTTTAAGGGTAGATCATAAGGATTTGGAAGACTGTTCTTAAAATATTATTCAGCAGGTGGTACAGCAAAATTACTGGGGGCTAAATCCTCCCTCTTGGACCCAGCTTAAACAGCTGGGCTTGGTGAAGGGAGATTCTATGGGATTGTAAAGAGAGGAATAGTCATTTCCCCAAGTTGCAGTGCAGATCTGCTGAGACTGCAGTAATCACCCTGTGCCTCATGCCCAGAGTGAACAGATGGTGGGTCCACTTCCCCAACACCCCACTGCACAAGAACACAGAAGGAACCTTTTCAGAGTCAGAATCTGCAGTGTGTGCAAAACCCCCTGCATAAGCTCCCATTCTATCCAGTCTGTCTGCTGCACGTCAGAATTGCACACAATTTGCTGCATTTAAGTCCTCCTTGGCACAGAAGGAGAGGGCAAGATTTTCCCTTAGGAACAAGAACACCAATTCAGAAGAAACGGAGTCAGCTCAAACCTTTGCTCAGTCAAACCAAACTTGTAGAATTTGCAAGCTTCAATACATATCTCAAATTTGTGTTCTCAAATCCTGAATTTCCTTATCCTGCCCAGGACAGGATAGAAAAATCAGGTAATAGTGCTGGAAAGACTGTTTTTAAAGTGTTCTCAATAAGAAATAAAGGAAAGTACTGAAAACCTTGCAAGAAAGCCTGTCCTCATGAGATTTCCAGCTTACGTTTAGTAAAGCATACTTTATATCATGCCTTAACTGTGTTAACATTAATGTAGCTGTATTGTACCTTTGGCATCTTCTTTAGGCTGAACAGCTTTTGCTAAGAGGAGGAGATCTTTTATTAATATATATGTTTCTGTTGGAAACTTTGTAAGTGCAGGGTTCACTAGAACTGTGTTAATTACCAGGTAAAAAAAGATTGCAACACTAAGGGTATGTCTACACTACGAGAGTAGTTCGATTTTAGTTAAATCGAATATGTGCAATCGATATTAGAAAGTCGAACGTGTGTGTCTACACTAAGGACAGTAATTCGACTTTGTCAGTCCACACTACCAGGGAAAGCGTCGACATTGGAAGCAGTGCACTGTGGGCAGCTATCCCACAGTTCCCGCAGTCCCCGCTGCCCATTGGAATTCTGGGTCGAGCCCCCAATGCCTTCTGGGTAAAAAAATGTGGCGAGGGTGCTTTTGGGTAACTGTCGTCATCCGTCAGTCACTACCGCCCTGCCTCCCTCCCTGAAAGCGCCGGCGGGAAATCAGTTCACGCACTTTTTGATCAGTGACAGCGCGGACGCCACAGCACTGCGATCATGGATCCCGCTGCGACCATCGCTGCAGTTGTGGCCGTTCTCAACACCTATCACCTTATCATACACCTTTCCCTGAGGCAGATGCAGAGAAATCAGGCGAGGAGGCTACGGCACCGCCGTGAGGGCCTGAAGTCGGAGAGTAGCACAGAGCTGTCAGAAACCACGAGCCCCAGCGCCCAGGACATCACGGTGGCAATGGGGCATGTGGATTTTGTTGAACGGCGATTCTGGGCCCGGGAAACAAGCACGGACTGGTGGGACCGCATAGTGCTTCAGGTCTGGGATGAATCCCAGTGGCTGCGAAACTTTCGCATGCGGAAGGGGACTTTCCTGGAACTTTGTGACTTGCTGTCCCCTGCCCTGAAGCGCAAGGACACCCGCATGCGAGCAGCCCTGACTGTCCAGAAGCGAGTGGCCATAGCCCTCTGGAAGCTTGCAACGCCGGACAGCTACCGGTCAGTCGCGAACCACTTTGGCGTGGGCAAATCTACCGTGGGGGTTGTTGTCATGCAAGTAGCCAAGGCAATCGTCAAGGTACTGCTGTCAAAGGTAGTGACCCTGGGAAACGCGCAGGCCATCATAGATGGCTTCGCTGCGATGGGATTCCCAAACTGCGGTGGGGCTATAGATGGGACTCACATCCCTATCCTGGGACCGGGCCACCAGGCCAGCCAGTACATCAATAGAAAGGGCTACTTTTCAATGGTGCTGCAAGCACTGGTGGACCATCGGGGACGGTTTACAAACATCTACGTCGGATGGCCGGGCAAGGTTCATGACGCTCGCGTGTTCAGGAACTCTGGTCTGTTTAGACGGCTGCAGGAAGGTATTTACTTCCCAGACCACAAGATAACTGTTGGGGATGTGGAGATGCCTACAGTGATCCTCGGGGACCCAGCCTACCCGCTAATGCCCTGGCTCATGAAGCCCTATACTGGCGCCCTGGACACAGAAAAAGAACTGTTCAACTACCGGCTGAGCAAGTGCAGAATGGTGGTGGAGTGTGCTTTTGGCCGTCTCAAGGGGAGATGGAGAAGCTTACTCACTCGCTGTGATCTCAGCGAAACCAATATCCCCATCGTTATTGCAGCTTGCTGTGTGCTCCACAATCTGTGTGAGAGCAAGGGGGAGACCTTTATGGCGGGGTGGGAGGTTGAGGCAAATAGCCTGGCTGCTGATTACGCCCAGCCAGACAGCCGGGCGATTAGAAGAGCCCAGCGGGACGCGCTGTGCATCCGGGAGGCTTTGAAAGCCAGTTTCAAGGCTGAGCAGGGTACCCAGTGACTTTTAAGTTTGTGGACACAGAAGCAGAACTTGCCCCCGTTTCTTTACCCAGTTGCCGTCGACTATCCTCTCCAGTTACATACCCCCTTCACCCCCTTCCCAAAAAATAAAATCTGTTCTGTTTTGTTAATGGACACCGTTGTCTTTATTACTGTTTTCGCGGGAATGTTTTAAACCTGGGATGCAGACTGTGGCGGGGGGCGGGTTTAGGGTTGTGATGCAAATGATGCTTCTAAACTCCAGGAATGACAGTCTCCGCGGTGGTGGACTGGTTGTTTCAACGGAGCCTGCCAGCCCTCCTGGCCGGGACTGCGTGTATGTGTCGGCTATGTGACTGTCTTGCAGGGGGAGGAGGGTTACAGATCCCCTGCTGCGCGGCTCTGTGATGCAGGGTAAGGACCGCTGCATAAGATCTGTAACTGCCCTCCCCCGCCACCAAGTCACAGAGCAACACCACCCCCCCCCCACCACACAAAACATGAAAACCACCTCCCAGACTGACCAGGATAACTAGTCACTGCACTGTATATGTGCCCTGCTGCTGCACCTGCCCCCTGCTAAAGGTGACTGTCCTGTCGAATGACCAAGCCTCTTCCCCCCCCTTCAGACAGACTCCTCTCCAAAAGAAGAGGATGGAAACAGAAATGAACAGAAACGTATTCTTTATTAACAACCGCACATGGAACGGGGGCGTGAAACTTGGACGGGGTCTTGTGTGAGGCGGGTAGGAAAGGACTTTTCAAATTTTGGGGAATGAGAGCCTTCTAGTGGTAGAGCAGTCCGCAGGGGTGGAGTGAAATTTTTCACGGCCCCTTCCACCCCTCCGTGTTTGGACTTTGGGTGAGGGGGGTATGGGACTTGGTGGCGGGGCAGGGCAGTTACAGAGAGACTGCAGCGGGGCTCTCTCCTCCTGCCTCCGGTCCTGCAGAACATCCACAAGGCGGCGGAGCGTGTCCGTTTGCTCCCTCATTAGTCCAAGCAGCGTTTGAGTAGCCTGCCTGTCCTCCTGTCGCCACCTCTCCTCCCGTTCAATGTTTGCCCGGTGCATTTGGGACAAGTTCTCCCTCCACTGTGTCTGCTGGGCAGCCTGTGCTCGGGAGCATCCCATTAGTTCAGCAAACATGTCTTCCCGTGTCCTCTTCTTCCTCCTCCTAATGTGCGCTAGCCTCTGGGCAGATGTGGCTGTGGGAATTGGAAAAAGGGAGTGAATTCCTGAGACAGAGCAATGTATCTGTGAACAGAGAACATAGTCTTTCTCTGTGAACAAGACCATGCAGAGCACCTATCATACGCGCACTGAGGACAAGGTCGAATTTTCGGCCCTCGCCTACCGTGCCTGTGGTCTTGCTGTGGCGAGCTGAGGAGCAGGGCTGGACACCGGACTTTGTCTAGCTGGCAAACATGGTAAGCCGTAGACTTGTGGCCGCTTAAAACTTTAAGAGTGGCACTGGCCTCCTTTCACATAGAAAGCAATGCGAGTCTCTGCTGGCAGCAATCCTGCAAGCATGAACTCTGGCCCTGTCCCACCCCCTCGCGGCTGTAAACCGCGTGGCTGTAAACCGGCGGTTGCAGTTCTGTAAAGGGACGGGCAAGCAGTCCCAATACTAACTTTCCCCTACCTAATTCACAGCAGGGAGTCATGCCAGACATCACCCTCCTGAAGGTCTCGGAGAGCCAGAAGGAGAAGATGCTCCGGGACAGCCTGCAGAAACCGGGGCCATTTGCTGCAATGCTCTGCAAGGCCATGATCCCGGAGTACCTGCTGGCGTTGTGGCAGGGAAACGTGTCCTACCACGGGGGGCCTAATAAGCTCTCCCTGCCCAGGAACCTGCTCATGAGGCTGGAAAAACACCTGCAGGAGGCGTATGAGGAGTTCTCCCCGGAGGATCTCGCCTCTATCCCCGGTTACATTGACCAGTTCTTGGCTTAGGTGCCCTTGGACGGACAAATGACTGCAGGGTTTTGGGCACTATAATCATGAAGCGGACATTGTGAAATTTTTTGAAAATGGTTCGGACTACATATTGAGGCGCCCAAAGACAGACTAATCATGATACACTTTGCACAGATTCCCCTTTTGTTTGACTTTCCTGTTTACATGTTTTGAAGCACTTTACCCACTGTTAATATTTTAAATCTTCCTGTTTTGTTGTAAATAAATGTTTACATGTTTTAAAGCACTTTAGCTACTGTTAATATTTTAAATATGCCAGTTATGTTGTAAATAAATGTTTAGATATTTAAAACACTTACTGCTTGATCCTTCCCCTGAATCTGTGTCTGGGGTAACGGCGGGGGACGGTTGGTAGGGGATCTCTGTCAGGGTGATGAAGAGCTCCTGGCTGTCGGGGAAATCAGCGGTGCCAGCGCTGTCGACTGCCTCGTCCTCCTCATCTCCTTCTTCATCTTCCCCGTCCACTAACATGTCGGAGGAACCGGCCGCGGACAATATCCCATCCTCAGAGTCCACGGTCAGGGGTGGGGTAGTGGTGGCGGCCGCACCTAGGATGGAATGCAGTGCCTCGTAGAAACGGGATGTGTGGGGCTGGGATCCAGAGTGTCCGTTTGCCTCTTTGGTCTTCTGGTAGCCTTGTCTCAGCTCCTTGATTTTCACGCGGCACTGCGTTGCATCCCGGCTGTAGCCTCTCTCTGCCATGGCTTTAGAGATCTTCTCATAGGTCTTTGCATTCCATCTTTTGGAGCGCAGCTCGGAAAGCACGGACTCATCTCCCCACACAGCGATGAGATCCAAGACTTCCCGATCCGTCCATGCTGGGGCCCTCTTTCTATTGGATTGCACGGCCATCTCTGCTGGAGAGCTCTGCATCGTTGCCACTGCTCCTGAGCTCGCCACGCTGTCCAAACAGAAACTGCGCTTCAAACTGCCCAGACAGGAAAAGGAATTCAAATTTTCCCGGGGTGTGGCTGGTCAGAGCATCCGAGCTCGGACTGCTGTCCAGAGCGTCAACAGAGTGGTGCACTGTGGGATAGCTCCCGGAGCTATTAGCGTCGATTTCCATCCACACCTAGCCTAATTCGATATGGCCATTTCGAATTTAGCGCTACTCCTCTCGTTGGGGAGGATTACAGAAATCGATTTAAAGAGAGCTCTATGTCGAACTAAATGGCTTCCTGGTGTGGACGGGTGCAGGGTTAATTCGATATAACGGCGCTAAATTCGACATAAAAGCCTAGTGTAGACCAGGCCTGAAACAGGCAAACTGAGTGATTACATAGTCCAGAAGATTGTCAGATATTAGTGATCTGTTGTACTGCAGCCTGGAGCCTTACAATTCTGTTTGGCCTGGAGGAGAATTGCTTGTCTGCGGGATGAAATCCACTAAGTAGCAGAGATCCTGTTTAAAAAAAAAAAAAAAAAGCTTCCTTCTTGCCAGACATGAGGAATTTCAAGGCTCCAGTATGGTAGGTGACTGTAAGGGCATATTATTAGAACTGGTAACTTTAACTACAGAAAGTCAACTTCACAGAGTAAGTGCAAACTGGAGTGAGGCACATTTATGTTCAGTAAATTCCAGCAGCATCTCATTTTACTTGAAACGTGCTTATCTTAACCACAGAATCTTTTGGGTTTTGTCCATCAGGAGTTTGAAGATTTGGCTATATCTAAAATAAGAAAAAACAAACAGCAAAACCAAACCAAATTCTCCTCTTGCTTACAATGGTGTAACTCTACCAGTGGGATTACTCTGGATTTACACTAGTGTAAGAGAAGGGATTCTGGATGCTTGTTTTTCTAGCACCTGCCAGATATGTACAAGAAAATAAAATGAAATACAACGTAACAAAACTTAACTGTCTTAAACGACAGATATAAAAAAATAAGGAGGCCCAATTTAAAAACAGACGGGGAGAGGGAAGGTAATTACAGAGCTATGAGTAGTTATTCTGTAGACCCACTGAGGAATCTACAGGACCATAGTGCTAGTCTCAACACCAGAGATGTGTCTGTAGCACAGATTGTTTACAGTACACGCCAAAGCATTGTGAATTCATACATTTAAACAACCTTGGACAAAATTCCTTTTACCCATGTTCCATGCAACCCTTGGAGCACATCTTATTGAAAAATGGACCATGATAGGAGAACTGATCATGAAGGCACTATCAATTGCTTGATACTCAACATAGCAAAACAAACACTCCATGAAAGATTAATGCAACATTTGGCAACTGGCAAGCTTGCTGTGGATGCAGGTACAGTAATTCTGACCAAGAGCACGCCAGGTCCATGCCTCACCTCATAGTTCTGTCTCTCAGAATGAGTGATGTTGGGTGGCTGATAGGCAATCTTCATGTCGTATAAATCCTGCCGAGTGAAAGATGTAAAGGCCTTGGTGTGGTCCTCCAGATGGGTAATATACCCCTCTAGTGAGCATTTGGTAATGCTGAACACTAATCTGTCTTTTGGGGTTTCTCCAGCTTCAGCATCTACAGCTGCTGTTGTAAGTGGGGTAAGAATAAACTGATCAATCTCCAAGATGAACATGGATATAAATGCAGCTTGGGCCTGTGTATTTGGGATGGCTCCCTTTATCCCCACAGGAATCCAAACGTTTTCTGTCTACAAACAAGAAAACCCAGTTAATCCCTTTGCAAACACTTCTGCAAGAGGAAATATATTTATATCCAGAAATATATATATTGCAAATAATTTTTGGGGACCCATCACCAGATTTAAAACAAACAAAAGGAAGTACTTCTTCACAAAATGCACGATCAACCTCTGGAACTCATTGCCAAGGGATACTTGTGAAAGCCAAAACTATAACTGAGTTCACAAAAGAACTGATAAGTTAATGGAGTCTATCAATGGCTATTAGCTAAGATGGTCAAGGACACAGCTCCATGCTGTAGGTGTCCCTAAACCTCCAATTGCCAGAAGCTGGATGATAGGGGATGGATCACTCAATAATTGCCCTGTTCTATTAATTCCCTCTGTCCCAGCCACTGTTGGAAGAGAGGACACTGGGCTAGATGGACCATTGGTCTGATCCAGTATGGCCGTTCTTATGTTCTTACCATAGTACCTGGGCTCTATTAAACAAAACGAAACAACTAATATACAATTGACCATTAAATCCCTTTCAAACTTTGCCCCAAACTTTTCACACCTCCAACTAACAATACTCAATAACTGAAAAGCCTGAAAAGTAAGAAAAAGAAATCAGAAATGCACAATGCAACAATAATAAATTGGCACAGGCTCTCAAGAATTGCCAGCCAGAGCAAGTTCTAGAGCAATGGACCTTCAAAAAGAATGCACAGCCACTCACCCTGGCCATGCCCCAGAAAGGAGTCAACTTTATCTCCTTATCACATATCCTAAAGACTGCTGGAAGATCTAAAAGCAGCAAGGCAGTAGTCCACTGGATAGGGCATTCAGCTGGGAGTCTGGAAGCTTGGATTCTATTCCTACTTCTGTCACAGACCTGTTGTGTGATCTCAGGCAAATCATCTCCCCTTTCTTTGCTTCTGTTTCCTCTCCTACATTTTGTCAGTCTGGGTCATTTATTCTGTAAGCGGTTTGGGAACAGTCTCTTACTATGTGTTTGTATCATGCCTAGCAGAATGGGACCCTGATCTCAGCTGGAGCCTAGAGTGCTGCTGTAATACTACTACTACTAATAAATAATAATAATGGACAGCTGATCTCTTCCCGTGGTCATCAAATAAGTAAGTTCAGACTTGTGTCATACCTAGGTCTAAAGCAAGACCAATAGGATTCAAGGAAGCTAGAGAAATCAACGTATAGCTTCAGTTAGGTCAACTTCCACCTTCTCGATTTTCTTCTTCAAAAGGGGAAATCTCTAGTCAGGGTGGACATGGCAAGATTGTTAATCTCAGAAGAGGGAGTGAAATCCTGGCCCTGTTGAAAACAGTGAAATTTTTGCCACTGAATTCAATGGGGCACGGATTTCACTCATAGCCATTGGCGCAACTATTGCTTGCGTTAGGGTGGTAGGCAATTTGACATGGAGAAGGAAGGCAGGCCTATCAATAACAGGCCAAGCATGCTCCATTTGCCTTTTTTTTAGCCATGCAAAAGTCAAACAAGAGGAGATATATTTTTACTGCCCAGTCCTATTAATGCTTCATACTTCCAGCCAATGCTCACTCCTCCAGATAACTTGGCTTTTGGATGGGTGATACTTCCTCCTGTCCTTCCACCCCTTGGCTCCAGCAGCTTTTTCAAAATTTGCAAATGTGAATATTTGAGCAAAAGTGGCTTTTTCTCTTTTTGCAAATATTTGGTTAGCAAAATAATTCATTTAAAACCATTATTAAAATTGCTCCAGTTTCAGATGAGTTTTGTAAACTTGAAGCAGGCAATGTCAGAAATTGTGTGTGTGATGAAATCACTAATATTTCTATACATTGCACAGTCTCATTAAGACACTTTGAAATGTGAGTCATGCCAGGGTAATGCCACTCGCAGGGAGGATGAAGCCTGTGACTTTCTACTCATGCCCAAGGGTGCACCCAAGTTAAGACCAATAATTCAATACAGCGCAGACATCCAGCTGGCAGTGTTTTATTGCTTTTCCGAGTGATTGTCAAAATCTGTTATCTGCTCTCACCTGTAATGGACATTGGCTCTTTTTGTCTCTGATCTCCACCTGGATGGGGATGTAATCTGTGTCAGGGGATAGGGGGCTGAGGTGTTGATATTGGAGTTGCATCTCCAGGAAACCTTCACAGTTGGTCTTTAGAATATACACTTCCTTTGATCCTGGCTGGCAGGCATTAAACTGTACATTTAAGTCAAACAAATCTTATGGCAATTATTGCATCACAATCTTTTGACTGGCCAATAATTTGTATGAATTTGTAATTTAGACTGTAAGCTCTTCGGAATAACTGTAGGTACTCTATACAGATGCCCAGATCTTGTACAGATTTAGGCATGTAAATAACTTTACCTATCTAAGTAGTCCCAAAGACTTCAATGGGACTACTCACGTGTAATAAATTAAGCACATCCATAGGTGTTTCAGGATTGGCACCTATGTTTGTACAGTACATAGTACAATGGAATCCAGAACCTAACTAGGTCATCCACGTGCTACTGTAATTTAGTTATTAAAGATTATTGAAATATGGGGAGATTCCCCCTATACAAAATTCCAATTTTTTGGTAGAAAATAAAAAACTGAAATATTTCAATTTGGAAATACCTCTTGCAGGGCCTATGGAAATTGTTGTTTGGGTGCCTCCTGCTCCCATTCTCCTGTCCTCCACCTCCCATGATGAACCACTGTGTCCCCTGTTGGAAAGGAGAGGTAATCCATCATGGGAATCACTGGTCAAGAGCTTTGAAATAAAATTTTCCACAAGCCCTAATCTTTAAATAATAATCCGAAACAGATAACCAAATACTGCATCCTACAGTATTTCAAAATGAAATTCTGAACACTGGTGAGAGGATTTGATCTGGGTCCTTCTGATCCTGTTATTTCTATCCTTTAGTCCTACTGTTATGCATTTTTGTAGAAAGAGTTAACCATTCACCAGCTTAAAAACACAAGAAAATAAAATGTGTGTTACTCTTATTTATTTTCTGTCAGTCTTCTACAAGAAGGGGAACACGGTTTGCCTTCATCTTTCTTCTATGTTCAGGACCGAATGATTCCTCAAACAACATTTTGTTTTTAAACAATTCTTACATCAATAAAACTACTTGGGATGCTGGCAAGATTACCTTGTCTCTGGAGAATTCTGCACTTGTTCTATGGCCCAAAGCCCCATTCACATAAACTCTGCTCTACAGATTTACTGCTTTTGCATGAGGAAATTTGGAAGATGCAGAGCAAAGTTGGAAACGCTCCCACAGCACAACTTTATTTTTTTGTTAAGAATAATACAGCACATACATTTTTAACGAGATTTTAAATAAAAAGAAGCTCTCTCCGCCCCACTAAAAAAGTACTGTAGATGTATTGAATGTTTTAAAATTCATCACTTGTCCTTGCTCTAGTGTTTTTCAGAAGCTTGGGTACATTTCCACTCCGATGGGATCCTCTGCTACAATCTGGCCAAAAGCAGGAAGCGAGGTCTCAGAAGACGTGATCCTAACGGTGCAGACCGTACCTAGCCCATCAGCATTGTACTTGAAAGTCAAGACACTTCTGTCCACTTGCTTAGATATGCCAAGAAACTCAGAAATGTCTAGAGAGCTTTTTCCAAACTGAGTAATACTTGATTTTGGATTTCTGATCTCTACATGAAGAACAAAAGTCTCTATAATGGTCTCCAGTTCAGTAAACCCAAATGTGAGAGATTTAATATTGTATTACATCCTATATAAAGAAATGCAATTTGTTTTAGCCATTTATATAGCAACCTACGAATGCATGTATTGTACAACTTTACTTTCAGCGAAATCTATATTGTAAATAGACAGTCAATAGGAAGTGAGGGTGCTCAATGCCTCACAGTATCAAATTCTTAAAAATAATACTTGGGAGTTGCATTATGGTCCAAATCCTCAGCTGCCACAAATCAATAAGTCGATTGCCCATCCCTATATCTCCCGTTGGGGCCAGGGCTTGTTACAGAGAAAAAGATGAGGCCACAGGATGGGTGTATAGGAGGAGGGGTGCAAATTGTGCAGTGAACATCAAAACTGTGAAGATGGCTCTTATAAAAGGGCTTTACTAACTGGATGGAGCAGTAAAAAATAAGTAAAGCATCGACAAATCTCTCCGGTGCAGCACAGCAGCTACCTGGGAGAGTGCAGCCGTTGCTCTGCACCGGGCAGCATCCTAGGCACTGTGGCCAGAAGAGGAGAGACTCTGGCCCCGCCCCTTCATCTCCCTGATGGCCCCTTGCCCCTCCCCCAGGCAGTAGGGGAGGGGCATGAGACCCTTTGGACCCCCCCCCGCCCAACCACTGTGCGTCTCTCCGGGGAACACTGATTAATGTCTCAGTCTAAGCTGGTCTCTCTATTGACTTCAGTTCAGATGAGCCTGCTCAGGAAGATGAGCCTGATGAAGTTAATTGCCAATGGGCTTTGGTCGAGCTGATTTACATTTCAAACAACAGAAGCAATTGGTCAGAAGTCCATCTGCATTGTGATAGTTTTGATTCCCATGAGAAGGAGCACTTACCTGAGGTGCAAGTTTCCCCACTCTTTGTGTAATTGGCTCATTTAAAACCACCTCTACCTTACAAAGGTTCCTCTCCCCGGGGACATTAAAATGTAATTCATCATCAGTCACATACACCACCCGTCCCCTTTCAACACTGAAGTCTTTATTTACTAGGACAAGTTTTGCTGCTTCCCCATGTCCAAGATGCACCAGAAATATCAGAATATCCAACTTCAGAAAACTGCTCACAGCTTCCATCTTTTGGACTCAGCTATTTCCTTTTATAAGGCAAAGAAATCCAATGGATGAAAGTAATTAATTTCTGCAGTTACCGAAGGCTTTTTTGCTCAAGAGAGGCTTGAAAGCTCTTGCAGCTTTGCAGATATTAAAGAGCATTTTGCTTCCTGTTTTATTTTCAAAGTAAAAAAAAATACAACCCATTTTCTCTCATGCTGTTGTGGTTTCTTGCTCCATATCACCCAGTTGCCCGACTGGCTACAGTTGAGTAGTTCACAGGTGTTGTTGGGTATTACAGCAGCATAGTTTGCAGTTCATTTGACAAGCGTTCAACAGATGGCGATCATTCCCCTGGTGTTCAAAGAGACTAAGGTCACTCTATAGGGAGGAGAAAGATGCTGAAGTGAAAAAGTAGCCTACAATAAAGTAAGAGAAATCATGAGATCTTTACCTCAGAAGCAGAGGGGAGACACACAATAATGGAAATGCTAGCTTGATTCCAACAATATCCAAAGGGTTGGTTGGAGGGTTGGTTTCAAGAAAAAAAGTTAATACATGGAACATAATAATTATCACAGAGCATATTGCACAACCTGCCTGCAGCCTTTCTGTATATAGGATCACCATTATTTGGTACTGTGCTCCAAGGCCTATGCAACACTTTGGCCTGGTCTACACTATGACTTTAATTTGGATTTAGCAGCGTTAAATCGAATTAACCCTGCACACGTCCACACAAAGAAGCCATTTATTTCGAAATAAAGGGCTCTTAAAATCAATTTCTGTACTCCACCCCGACGAGCGGAGTAGCGCCAAAATCGATTTTGTCATTTCGAATTAGGGTTAGTGTGGCCACAATTTGATAGTATTGGCCTCCGGGAGCTATCCCACAGTGCACCATTGTGACCGCTCTGGACAGCAATCTGAACTCGGATGTACTGGCCAGTAGACAGAAAAAGCCCCGCGAACATTTGAATTTCATTTCCTGTTTGCCCAGCGTGGAGAGCACAGATGACCACAGGTAGCTCATCAGCACAGGTAACCATGCAGGTCGATAATCGAAAAAGAGCACCAGCATGGACCGTACGGGAGGTACTGGGTCTGATCGCTATATGGGGAGAGGATTCAGTGCTAGCAGAACTTCGTTCGAAAAGACAAAATGCCAAAACTTTTGAAAAAAATCTCCAAGGGCATGATGGAGAGAGGCCACAATAGGGACTCAGATCAGTGCCTCGTGAAAGTCAAGGAGCTCAGACAAGCCTATCAAAAAACAAAGGAGGCAAACGGTCACTCCGGGTCAGAGCTGTGGACATGCCGCTTCTACGCCAAGCTGCATGCAATTCTGGGGGGGCCGCCACCACTACCCCACCTCTGACCGTGGATTCCGAGGCGGGGATAATCTCATCAGCTACACCTGAGGATTCTGCGGACGGGGAAGAGGAGGAGGAGGAGGCGGACGAGCTTGCGGAGAGCACCCAGCACTCCGTTCTCCCCAACAGCCAGGATCTTTTTCTCAGCCTGACTGAAGTACCCTCCCAACAACCCAGTATCCAAGACCACGACCCCATGGAAGGGACCTCAGGTGAGTTTACCTTTTAAAATATAAAACTTGTTTTAAAAGCAAGCATTTTTTAATGATTACTTTGCCCTGAGGACTTGGGATGCATTCGTGGCCAGTACAGCTACTGGAAAAGTCTGTTAATGTGTCTGGGGATGGAGCGGAAATCCTCCAGGGACATCTCCATGAAGCTCTCCTGGAGGTACTCCAAAAGCCTTGCCACAAGGTTTCTGGGCAGTGCAGCCTTATTCCGTCCTCCATGGTAGGACACTTGACCGCGCCATGCTTGCAGCAAGTAATCTGGTATCATTGCATGACAAAGCCTGGCAGCGTATGGTCCCGGTGTTTTCTGGCATTCAAGCAACATCCGTTCTTTATCTCGCTGTGTAATCCTCAGGAGAGTGATATCGCTCATGGTAACCTGGTTGAAATACGGGAATTTAATTAAGGGGACAGAGGTGGCCATTCCTACTGGGCTGTTTGCCTGTGGCTGAAAAGAAATCCTTCCCTGCAGTTAGCCAAGCACGGGGGGGGCGGGGGGGAGAACTGGCCCAGAGCTTTTCGCGTTTGGCTAGCAGGGATCTTCCCTGATACCAGCCACGCGGTGGGGGAAGGGATAAAGCGATCATCGCGGGGAGTGGGGGGTGGGGGGGGTTAGTTTGTTTTCTGCTGATGAAGGTTAACAGGAAAACCGCAGCACTCAACGGGCTTTGCTTGGTATGTGGGAAAGGAGGGCGCAGAAGCCAAAAGACAATGGCTTACCATGGCCGCATGCAAGCCGAATTCTGTTGCCCGGACCTGCGTCTGTGATCTCTAGCAGCAAAGCCACAGGCACTCAATATTAAGAGGCAAAATGCGACCTTGCACAGAAATCACATGTGCTATGTAATGTGAATAGTGTTGGTCACCGTGAAAGAGTATAAGCATTGTTCTGCAAAATGTATCTTTTTAAAAAATTCTCTCCTTTTTTCCCTCCCTCCAGCAGCTGCAAATTCTTCAAACCTCCCTCCTCCGTCCCGAAGGCTATCTCTGATAAGGCGTCGGAAAAAGAATACACGAGACGATATGTTCGCAGAAATCATGGAATCCACCCGCAGTGAAAGAGCTCATCTGAATGAGTGGAAGGACACGGTTTCAAAGTATAGGAAAGAAGCCAGTGAACGTGAGGACAGGAGGGACCAACGTGAGGACATGAGGGACCAACGTGAGGACAGGAGAGACGCTCGAGATGAGAGGTGGCGGCAGGAAGATCAGAGGAGCCAGGATGCAACGCTGGGGCTGCTGCGTGAGCAAACAGACATGCTCCGGCGTCTGGTGGAGCTTCAAGAACGGCAGCAGGATAACAGAGTGCCGCTACAGCCCCTGTATAACCCCCCTCCCCCCTCACCATGTTCCATAGCCTCCTCACCCAGACGTG